ACTACTACTACTACTACTACTACTACTTCTGCTACTACTACCACTACTATACTACTACTACTACTACTACTACTACTACTACTACTACTACTACTACTACTACTACTACTATGACAAGCAGACTATAAATACGTGATACACCCGGGGAAAAAATATTCAAGGCTTAAGAGGTGCACACGCATTGCGAAATCTTACCGATTGTGCAGAAAGTGCAGACTGCGGAGAACACTCTTCAGATTTTGCCAAGTCAATCATAGACTGATATATTGGATATCAAAGGAAAGATAGATCTAGATCTACCACTTTTTGGTTGCGTAAACCATCTTATTCCTTTGAGTATTTACGCTATTCCTTTCACATGGGTAATAGTAATTTAAGTAGTCTCAAAAGCAAGTCATGTTATAAAAATAATAATTTGGTGCTCCAATTAGTTTTCACAACATCAACACCGAAAAAGCAAACTGGCATTTTTCCCGACCACGGGGCAGGGTTTTTTTCTATTCATTGGTGTGTGTGTGTGTGTGTGTGTGTGTGTGTGTGTGTGTGTGTGCGTGTGTGCGTGTGTGTGTGTGTGTGTGTTTTGTTGTTGTTGTTTGTTTTTTATTAACGAAGGTTAGATCTTTGTTTATTCCACACAAAAACAACACTCCACAATAGCATTTGGTTATTGTCACCCAAGAAAGATGGCAGATTGTTTTGTAGACGTTTTACGGCGCTCGCAACTGCATAAGGTAATGTGAGCGCCAAGATGATTGATTAACTCAACACTCGAGAAATCGAATTAGCAGCGTGCTTCGCGCGTTTCTTCTGTTGCCAGGATATTCAAAGCCAACAGAAAACTACCGTCGAATGTCCTAAGCCCTTTTAGAAACATATTTCTGTGTGGATTGCACCGTAATACGCGGGTAAGGACGGTAGATGTTTGGTAGGAAAGAACACCCGAAAACACTTGATCAGTTTTTAGTTTAGCTTCGGCTTTAGTAAAAGTGTTACACACTTGCAAAACACTTAGGTCATACAAGTGCCGAAGATTAGAGGCGTTAGTAAAAAGTAATGTACAAAGAAAAGAAGGAGGAGAGAAGTGATAAGGACGCTGGTTGTTCCAAAGAAAAGAAGGAGCAAACCGCACCAGAACACTTGTCAACCAATCCACTCACGACTTGATCAAGATACTACACATCTCGACTGCTCAATTCTATATTTAGACTCCCGTCAGACGCCACTTTTCGTTACGGCATTTTGACGGAGTCCTATAGTCCTATACTGAGCAGTCGAAGTTGGTGACTGACTGGTGTTCTGCTGTGTCTTGCTCCTTCTATCCTACCAAACATCTATCGTCCCAATCGCTTTTCCTCCTTTTGGTGTATGTAACTGTTATGTAACACCTCTATTCTTTGGCACATGTCATTATAATAATATGATCTAATTGTGTTGCAAGTGCTGTAAAACGCTTACTAGATCTAAACCAATAACCAGTGGATCAGATCTCGCATACGTGGTAAGTGTGTACCGAGTTTTCCAACTCTCCATCGTCCCGTCCTCGTCCTCACGACAGCAGCTTGACGAAGGAGCTCACACACTGGGTTTGTTTGTCCCGACGACCGATGAAGCGCGCGCGTTGGACCAGCAGGGACTCTGACCTCCTGGCCTTGTTATTGCTTCCCCACAAAAATATCTGCCTTAGCCGGCGTTAGAGCGAAGGCAAGGTCTCTGAACTAACGACCGTTGCTGCATTAGAGAGGTATCCCGTCGCGCAAGACTGCGACTCTCTCTCTCTCTCTCTCTCTCTCTCTCTCTCTCTCTCTCTCTCTCTCTCTCTCTCTCTCTACTCTCTCTCTCTCTCTCTCTCAATCTCTCTCTCTCTCTCTCTCTCTCTCTCTCTCTCTCTCTCTCTCTCTCTCTCTCTCTCTCTCTCTCTCTCTCTCTCTGAATTCAGGCCTCTCGATCTTGGCAATACCAGACTGATGAATCACGTCAACGATTTCCAAAAGTAGTCTACTCTTTTTCAGTTTCGGTGAGAAAAAAGAAACGATTTTTTAAAACATAAAAAAACAATCGGTGACATTACTGATAAGGAAAAGAAATCGGCGAGGTTATCT